CATCGCTTTCTAGGTTGGAGGCCATCGCTTTCTAGGTTGGAGGCCATGGCTTTCTAGGTTGAAGGCCATCGCTTTCTAGGTTGGAGGCCATGGCTTTGTAGGTTGAAGGCCATCACTTTCTAGGTTGGAGGCCATGGCTTTGTAGGTTGAAGGCCATCACTTTCTAGGTTGGAGGCCATCGCTTTCTAGGTTGGAGGCCATCGCTTTCTAGGTTGGAGGCCATCACTTTCTAGGTTGGAGGCCATCGCTTCTAGGTTGGAGACCATCGTGAATTCTAGCACGAGTAGTAGTTGTTCTTTTTGTCGCACAATGTCGCATTCTTCGTGCTAAGGGGATACCTTCCAGTTCATCCCTGCAAAGTCTGAGGGAGCCGGTCGCTTGTGCGCTTTTGTTCCTAATAACTTCTTGTTTCTAATAGCTTCTTGTTCCTACTAGTAAGGCGCTTGTTACTAGAAGCGATGCACTTGTTCCTAGAAACACATTTTTGTTGCACAAACTATGCAGCACCTTCTGGCGTCCATTTTCAGGTATGACACGAGTGTCCGTGAAGGATGTCCCGGAGGCGAAGAAAAGACATATTATAGCACACGATTCGATGCCGAAAGAAGACACATACATAATACATAGAATTTATATAGAACTCATATGATAGAAAAGCGGTCAACTTTTGAACGCGAAAATCATTGCCTGTCAACGTCGATCTGGTCGAGCTAGGCACCATCAGCATGGCCAAGAGATTCGGGCAAAGTCCACCTCAAGGTGAACAAAACGAGAAGATACAGATGAATTCAACTAACAAAAAGCGGAAGAAAAGAGAACTGAATAGAAGATTTACAACACAGACAGGGAGGACATCAAATTTCCAATTCCTTGAGACAACTTGTTGCGATTCTAGGTGCAACTCGCAGTCCTGGGCCACAAAGCTACAGGCGCAATGAATCAGTTGGTACGGTACCAGCGTACCATGTCGCTTTAGACAGTTTCAGAGATGCTTTTCAACGATTTACGTTGTTCAAAACCGCAAAGTCTTTGGCTCAGAGGGATGGCGGGAAGATGGGTACGAGAACGGTACCATAGTTTGGGGGAAGACGATGGCCGTGGCGGCCGTGGCGGCCGTGGCGGCCGTGGCCGTTTTGTCGGTTTCACACGGCACGGCCTCATTCGTTGCCGCGCATCCGCCATTTTGCTCCTGCTGGTGACTGTGGCCGTCACCGACACATTCTTGACGCCACGGCAGAGGCACATCGAGAAGGGCGAGGCGCACCATAGTTTTGAGCGCATATTTGATGTATGGTTTTGTTGTTTTGATGATTCAAGTGTAACAGCTATTTGAAGTAGCTACTCTCCTATAAAAAGGTTTTTTTTATGGTATTGTCGAATGAGGTGAAATGGCCCATATGGTTCTTCACGTTACCCGCCTTACCAGCACCAGCAATTGCGACAAGTGGAAGTCAGTCAGACATCGACGCGTCGAACTCATTGTCCAACATCGGAGACTGGATGTCCGACATGATGAACCAAGCAACTGGAGCTGCCGGAGCCGGTGATGGTGACTTTTCAATGGGATCAGTTGCTTTTGTTGGGGCAGGACTGGGATGGAGAAATAGACATAAATAGACAGTTGTTTTGTGGGCTATTTGTGGGCGATTTTCCAAACATTCTATGAATAGTGCGAGCGCTTCTTCAAGGAGTGTGAGCCTATCCTGCGTCCATATGTAGCTTCCTATTGCCAGATGCCAGTAGCTTACTTCTCCCTTACATAGAGTAGGCGCCTACTTTCAGTAGAAGCGGGACCAATGTTTAGCCGTTCGAGAGACGTTGTCCGCCAGGACTCTTTCTTCTTTCAGGCGTTTTTGCAATCTTGAAGTTCCTCTTGGCGGCGGTTGGAGGTCTATTTGTGGTTCAGGAGGTCAGCAAAGAAGGTCTTCTTGAAAAGGACGGGAGAGAAAACGGGAGTGAAAAGACGAAGCCCAAAACAGAATATCAGAAGCGACGTCGCGCTGTTTTTGCTTTGGTCTGTACTTCCAAACATGAACGCCAGTGAAGGCTTACCACAGTTGTCACAAAAGAATAACACAAAACATATGTCAAAGGTCACTAACGGTGTGCTGTCTTGTCCGTGTTACCTCTTCCTGGTACTGACGTGCATATACTACAGTAGCTCTACCGATTCGTAAAAGACGGCCCGGCCGTCAGCCTTTTGGATACGAAAATCAGTAGCTTCTTGTTACTACTAGTAAGGCACCTGTTACTACTAGCGTGGCACTTGTTACTAGTAGCTTATTGTTTCTAATAGCTTCTTGTTTCTACTAGTAAGGCACCTGTTACTACTAGCGTGGCACTTGTTACTACTAGCGAGGCACTTGTCTGACTTCGCGTGAAAACTATTCACCATTCAAGACGTCTTTCTTCACGAAGCATGTTTCCTTGCTTCGGTGTGTCGAAAAGCCAGGCTTTGAAGCGCTTGGGTGGTGAACCTGGCGATGTGTTGGAAGAGCGACGCCTCAAAGTGGTGCGATTGAACGATGAAGTCACAGCCTTTCAGGACACGAAGAAAAAGAGAGAAGAAAATACATTATGAGAGAAAAAGAAAGAACACAGTTAAAGCTATATATATATATAATGTTTTGGATATTTTGGAGATGTTTATTTAGATTCACAATGGCAGAGACAGAATGATTAAAACTCTCTCAGAGTCTAAGTGCTCTTTCCAAGGCTGCGTTGGCTGAGCAGGCAATTGGCCCTGCAGTTGGGCAAGAGCTGCGGGACCGTCAGCGCCGGAAAAGATTCACTTTTCTGTGGCAGCAGGTCTTGAATGACATCGTGATGAGCGACTCTGAGAGAAACAAAGTGGAGGAAGCGGTCCTAAAGTATTTGAAAGAAGAACAGCAACGCCAAAGGGAATTCAGACCAGCTCGTTCTGAGTGGCTCTCGTCCAATTTGCGAAGCTCTTGGTTTGGCTCAATGTTCAATGGATATGTAGTGACATCCAGCTTGCAGAAAAAAGTTCGCTTGCAAGAAGAGCTAATCGCCAATATCAGGAAGGCTCTGCCAGACGTGAAGAAGTTTGCAAATCTGCAGAAGGTTCTTGCGAACGTGGACATCTCTTGGTTGACGGACCTGGATGTGGACGACGCTCATTCGGCTCAGTCTCAGTCTGCTCAGACTCCCAAAACTGTTTATGTTCTCTCCTTCGACGGAGACCCTACAGCTGCTGGCGCTAGCCTTTTGCAACAGGCGAGACGAGAGCGAAAGAGAGAGAGAGAGATGCGTCCAACTGCGATGAGCTAGATTCCAAGCGACCTCAGGCCCCTCGATCCACTGTTGGAGCGAGTACATTGATTAGATCACATGCTGAAAAGCAACCGCCCACAAGGGAAAGGCTCAGTGTTGTTGCGACTAGGATCAACGAGGTGTTCATTCAAAATTTTTGGAGGGTCGCCTGTCAGAAATCCCTGACACTGAAAAGGTTACCAATACTGACAGGCTTCACCAACCGGCGATGTCCCTTCGGGGGACTGCGCGTATCCAGAGGCTCCTTGCACAGCAAAATGCGACGATTAGCGCAGCTTCTTACGTCTGATGGAAAAGCCAGGCAACCTCAGCTTCAGACACACGTATGCACATGCACACCCGCACACCCACCCGCACACCCACCCGCACACCCACCCGCACGCACACGAACGCACACGCAATCGCAATTACGCACGGAATTGCGCTCGCGCGCGCGCGCACGGGCGCGGGTGGGGGCCCACCCTATTTGAAGAAGCCATGTAAGCCCAGTCTCAGCAGGAAAGATGCAAATCTTTGCACGACTAGGCGCAAAACATGCTAAGTGACAATGTTTTTGCAGAGTGTATGTAGTTGATGAGCAATGCTGCTCGTACTCTGGTGATGCCAATGGCGCTCGCCACAAATGCTCACTCAAAACTTCCTCTCCCCTTTGCACTCTTTGTTCTCTAGAGATAAAGCTTTACACTAGCCAACTTTGATCATTTTCATATGTTTTTGATGTTTTTTTGATGAAAATACATACGTCCTGGTGCTCGAAATGTCGGCCGCAAACCGACATTTTGAACATCACCAGGACATATGTATTTTCGTAAAAAATCAAAAGCACCAGAGTACCAGCAGCATTGTTCATCAACTACATACATTTTGCAAACACATTGTAATTTATAGTGTTTTGCACTTATTCACGCACCAAAGGATTTATATCTTTCCTGCTGAGACTCTGCTGATGCTAATGATGCTCGGCCAAAATTTCTCCTCAACATTTGTCTCCATTTTCAATGTTTTGTTTTCTAGAGGTTTTGAAGCTATAAGCTTTACAGTCGCTATGTTTGATCCTTTTCCCACTGATTTTGAGTTTTTTTTGACGAAACCACATCATCCCTAGTGATGCTAGAAAAGAGGTCGGCGGCATGGAGCGCGTCTCCGTATAGCAAGCTAGCTCGACAGACCCAATGGAACGGCGATGCGCTGAACTTTGCGCAGATCAGGTCACACCACACTGACTCGCAACCCAACTGCCGTGAGCCATTTCGACCTTCGGTGTCCCAGGCACCGCCCCACCTAGGCGTCAGCGACCGAATTGGCATATTTCGCGATCTCGACATGTAGTCCTTTCCAGAAACATCAACCAGAAACACATCAACTTTCTGCAGAAATGCATCATCTCAACCAATGCCCTGCACCGAGTCAAACTTCATGCTTGCAACATGCACTCTGGGGATCTCTGGGGCAAATCCCCAGAGGATGTATGAAATCTGCGAGTTTTTATGTTGCCCTGAGTTCAGTTTTACACTGCTCACTTTGGGCTTTGTGAGACAGGCTTATAGGTGTGTTCTATTGTGTTCTATAGCAGCGTTTGGGTTGTGTTCGTTGCACAGCCGGGTTACTTGACATTTTGGGTGCAAAAATAAGACTTTACGGAACTTACTAGCGATGGCCTCCACCCTAGTAGCGATGGCCTCCAACCCACTAGCGATGGCCTCCAATAGCTTTCCTGTCGTGAAAGGAAGTTACTGCGATCTTGCAGTCGACAGTCCAGCCGGAGGAAGTTGTCCTGAAGCTGAAAAGCTCTGGAGGCAAATCAAGAATTGAAGATTGCAGTTGCAAACCATACAATGAATACAATTCAATGCATTTGCAAATCCGTGCAATGTAATGACATGCAATTCCTTAGAAACTCGTAGATACAAACATGTTTGGAGCGTCAGGACCTGTCTTTTCCTTTAATGTGGGCTTCTGTCGGGCGTCGTGTCCGTTGTAGGCACCGTAACTGGCTACGGCCTTGCTGCTGCTCAACTCTTACGATTTCAGCAACACAATATCCGCTTGGTGGTTTGCGTGGATGAACTGGCAGCAAGTGGAGGCTACATGATGGCCAGTTGTGCACAGCGCGTTCTCTGCTCTCCCTTCGCTGCGGTGGGATCCATCGGTGTGACGCCGGTCTAAGAATGTCAAGTCTCTTTGCGTCCTTTTGATCACCATTTGGTCTACAAAATCCCGTTTGACACGTTTCTTTCTCTCTACTAGTAGGAAGGACGCTGCTAGGTGGAGGCCATCGCAAGTAGGTTGGTGGCCATCGCAAGTAGGTAGGGTGGAGGCCATTGCAAGTAGGGTGGAGGCCATCCCTACTAGGGTGGAGGCCATCGGAAGTAGGGTGGAGGCCATTGGTAATAGAGTAGCTAGAAAATAGTGGGATGGAGGCCATCGCAAGTAGGGTGGAGGCCATCGCTACTACAGTAGCTAGA